AGAAAGAAAGAAAGAAAGAAAGAAAGAAAGAAAGAAAGAGGGGGGAGGTACATGCATAATGTGTGTGAGCCAGGGCGTCCTCCTTTTCCAGGACGCCGCCTCCATTTCAGCCTTCTGAAATTCCCAGGAGGCATCCCAAAGTTTCATTCAGTTAATGATTTCATTCTCGTCCATTTGGAGCATGGCAAAGAAGCATGGGTTTATAGTTAGTTAGACCAGTGTCTTTCTCTTTTTATGTGGTCACCCCCTCCATTTTTCTTCAGTGTCCTAGCTTTTGTGGCGGCCAGGGTGACCAGAGGTCCTCCTTTTCCAAGCCATGTCCTACATCTCCGCCTTCTGTCCAGGAGGAATCCCAAAGTGTCCTCCATTTGGAGCGTCACTAAGAAACGTGCGTTTACATTTCTAGGAGTGTTTTATTTGGTCATGTTCGACATTTTTGTTATGTCCTACAATTTGTGGCGCCCAGGATGGCCAGAGGCGTCCTCTTTTTCCAGGACACGCCCTCCATTTCAGCCTTCTCTCCAGGAGGAATCCCCACATGCCCTCCATTTGGAGCATGGCTAAGAAGCATGGATTTCATGTTTCTAGGAGTGTTTTGAGCTTTTATTTGGTTATGTCCTCCATTTTGGTCTGGAATGTTCTACATTTTGTGGCATCCAGGGTGTCCAGATATCCTCCTTTTCCAAGATGCACCCTACATTTCAGCCTTCTGTCCAGGAGGAATTCCAAAATGTCCTCCATTTGGAGTATCACTAAGAAGCATGCATTTACATTCCTAGGAGTGCTTTTAGCTTTTCTTTTTCTTGAGTTTCCTACATTTTGCAGTGCCTTGTCCTCCTTTGCAGTTAGGAGGACATCTGGCCACCCTTGGATGAGCTGATCCTGGAAGACCCCCCTTTCCATGCACACCCAAATTCCTGATATAATGCATGTCTTGAAATGGGATGGAATTGCAGTGGCTGGAGTCACATTTAGGAACATTTCATTTGAGGGGAATGTGTGTGTGTATTTTATTATCATCCAAATATTGCAGAAAGACCAATGTCACTGAGTTTACACTTACAATCTGTTCATCCTTTGTTGTTGTGTACCTTCAAGTAATTTCTGACTTGTGGCAATCCTACGGGATATCTTGACAAGATTTGCTCAGAGGAGGCTTTCCATTGCCTTCCTCTGAGGCTGAGAGTGTGTGACTTGCCCAAGGTCACCCAGTGGGTTTCATGGCTGAGCGGGGAAGGTCTCCAGAGTTGTAGTCCAATGCTCAAACCACTACTCCACACTGGCTCTCACTTTTCATCCTTAAAATTTCTTAATGTCTTTATCTCTTAATATCATTATCATCCACATGCTAATGATTTAAATATCTGATGTTTCCATCGCATAACACATTTACCCAAACAAATCTCTGAGTATGTCCTCTCTTTTTCTTCACCCTTTCTAAGTTCATATCATTCCTTCTTCTTTCTTTGACTTTACCTACAATTCCTTCCTGTTTTTATTATTTGAAAGGAAATTTGGGGGGGGGGGAGTCCAGATGCAAGGAAGGCATCTAACCTTTTTCCTTCCTCCCTAGCCCATTCAAGGCACAGGGTGTCCAGTTGTCATCATTACAAAGGAGGACAAGGCACCCCAAAACAGCAGTCGAGAAAAAAGGAAGACATTACCAAATAAAAGCTGAAAACACTCCTATAAATCTAAATTCCTTCTTCATAGTCATCTTTAGAGACAGTGGTGTTTTCTTAAATGGAATGGGTTGTAGTTCCAATGGGAAACACATTAAAATGCACATTCCTCTTGGATTTGAGGTGATGCTTTTGACCCATAAGGAATGCTGAAGTTAGATCTGAAATTTAACAACCTGGTCACCAATAGCAATGCCACCATGTCTGCATCTGCACTGCATAATTAATGCAGTTTGACACCACTTTAAGTGCCATGGCTCTATGCTATAGAATTCTGGGGTCTGTAGTTTTATGAGATATTTAACCTTCTCAGTCAGAGAGCTCTGGTGCCGCACCAAACTGCAAATCCCAGTATTCCATAAAGCGGTGTCAAGCTGCATTAATTCTGCAGTGTTGCAGCAGCTCACCTCTTGGCCATGTTCCTTGGCTCTTTATGGTCACCTATCAAGTACAAGTTCAAAAGGTCTTTAACAAGGTGAAAATGCACTGAGCAATAAATGCACTGGAAACCAATGCTGCATTAATACATGCACTTTGCAAGGGGAGGTAGAAATCAGTGAGTAACTTCTCCTTTGAGGGCAACTGACCTGTTTCCTTGTAAGAGCAATGCCCCTTTTGCCCTTTTCATCCATCAAACATGCCCATGGTCAAAATCAGTGTTAGATGCATATATTTATACTACCATATTTGGAGTCTTATGTGCAATTGAGAAGGGAGGGAGGAGAGAGTTATCCCAGTCAATTCCTCCTTGCATAGCTACGGTATTTTAACAGCATCACGTGCAGAAATTCCTCAGCACAGATATATTCTAATAGGAAACCTTATTCTGTTAAATTTTCCATATGACTTTCATGAAGCTTAAAAAAAAATTATTAGGTAGAGAAAGTATGGTCTTTACAATTCACTGTTTCCAAACACACATAAAGGGAGTTGGCTGCATACATTTCTAAAACAAATGTTATTACATTAATATCATAGAAGTCAAAGGATAAGTTTGTTTCTTTTGTGAGAGGGTGGTGGGACATAAAAGCTACAGTCAGTGTGGCATAGTGATTTGTGTGTTGGACTATGAATCTGGAGACCAAGGTTCAATTCCTAGCTCAGCTATGCAACCCATTGGGTGACCTTGGGCAAGTCGCACTCTCTCAGCCTCAGGAGAAGGCAATGGCAAACCTCCTCTGAACAAACCCTGCCAAGAAAACCCAATGATAGGTTGGCCTTAGGGTCACCATAAGTCAGAAATTATTTGAAAGCACACAACAACAACAAAATGAAGAAGATGATGGGATGGATGAGATTTCTGCAGTTTGACCCCATGCGATAAAGTTTGCACATAACAAGTCAATTTGAAGAGACAAGATAATGACTTATGATGGGCAAATTCAGTCAATATTTCATGCACTTTGCATGCACTTTGCAAAGGGAGGTAGAAAGTCCATTTAAAACTGACTGTTGGTTCCAACTAGTCCCAATACATTAAATCAATTGGATCTTCATAACTGACTTACTATTCAAGATTTGACACGCCTACTATAGTTTTGATTATTAGATTTAAGACAGAGGTGAAAATTATACAGCCTTGCTAATGTTATTGAACTGCATCTTCTGAAAATGAATGATCTCGGTCAGGGGTAGGCAACCTTTCCCCTTTAAGAGCCGAAGGACTTCAGCTCCCAGAAGCCTCAGCCATGTTGGCCAATAGTCCCATGTTGGCCAATAGCTCTTGGGATTCTGGGAGCTGAAGTCCCTCGGCCCTTAAAGGGGAAAGGTTGCCTACCCCTGATCTCGGTGTTTGACACTATAGAGCAGGGGTAGGCAACCTTTCCCCTTTAAGGGCCGAGGGACTTCAGCTCCCAGAATCCCAGGAGCTACTGGCTAACATGGGACTATTGGCCAATATGGCTGAGGCTTCTGGGAGCTGAAGTCCCTCGGCCCTTAAAGGGAAAAGGTTGCCTACCCCTGATCTCGGTGTTTGACACTATAGAGCAGGGGTAGGCAACCTTTCCCCTTTAAGGGCCGAGGGACTTCAGCTCCCAGAATCCCAGGAGCTACTGGCTAACATGGGACTATTGGCCAATATGGCTGAGGCTTCTGGGAGCTGAAGTCCCTCGGCCCTTAAAGGGGAAAGGTTGTCTACCCCTGCTATAGAGACTGAGGGGCTGAATAGACGGCCCCTAAGAGGTGGACTCCCACTGCCCCATTCCTAGCCGGATTGGGGCTGCCGATCCAGTAGTTTGCCGCTCTAAAAAGAGCTGGCAAATGCTGCTCCTTTTTAGAGCAGCAAAAAGCTGCCCTTACCGCTACAGTGGTGGCTTTTCGATGCTCCTTTGGTGCAGCGTGTGTGAACACTGCGCCAAGGGAGTGCCCTGATGCCACCCGCCATCTGGTTGGATGAGCAGTGTGACGGCGGCATTGGAGCGGAGTCGGGGTGGCCAGCATGCGGTCACCACACCCCCACTCCACTCCCAAGGCAGCCCTTTTGGCCAGTCTGTACAGCCCCTGCACTCAGAATATATTACTTGTTTTACAATAGTATTAATGGCTTCTTTCTTCTCTTTTCAGCATTAATCCTTTGCCTGATTTTTATGAACTGATAAAGCTAAGATATGCTAGTTATCTTGGCATTCAGCAGCTTTTATAAAAATCTAATGATTTTTACTGTTCAATACAGAACAAAATCAATATTAGATGTAAACAAAACTATACACAGATGGTTGACAGTGTACGATGACCATTAAACCTTCTTATAATCCAGTATTGATCCAATATTGAAAGTTCTTCCAGAACCTCAATGCTAGTAATGGTGGTCCAAGCAGAGAAGTATCTTTATTGGCAATAAGATAAAACAAATTTATACCAAATGCTTTTAAATTTGCCTCCCTCCCCCACATCCTTTTGTTAGGATAATCAATTTTAGCTAACTTGAAAGTGTTTAAATGCCACTTGAAGATAATGTTGAAAGAGGATTAACATGACATCTGTCTGTGAAAGCTGGTGACAAGAGATTATTGACATTGTCATGTAAGGCTGGTTCTATAGCTTCATAAATTCAGTTGCAATTGTTGCTATGTGTGTGTTGTTTATGTTCTCTCTCCCTCCTTCTCCCTTGCTCTCTTTTTGCAGGCACTAAATCCCATCGTAATCTGGAGGGAAAACATTTTGGTGGTCTCCCATCACCATCAGATACAGAGGATTCAAACTCTTTAGGAAAGGGTAAGTCCAGGGCTTCACAAAACTTGGCAATTTGAGCTGCATTGGTAGCTGTCCGAACTTTCTCTTACTTGTATATCATGATATTAAATGGGAACTCCTGCCGATAACAAATTCCTACTTCTCTTAATAGATGGAACTATCGATATCTTCTTAATGTATTTAAACAAAATTAAGGTTGCAATATAATTGAAAGTGAGCAAGCATAAGGCACTTAACTCCCTTAATTTTGTGGGGGTTTCCATGAACTTGACGGTAATGGTCCTGTGTTCTATATTTATTTTCCACATTTAGAGTTGCTGAATTGAGACTTGAACAATGTACTCCCAAATATTATTAGAGCTATTATGGCTATGTCTTTTCCTTTGCCTGGGACCTCAGAAGCACAAGTTTGGCTTGTGGCTTCTATTTTCTCAAATCTTTCCACTTTACTTTTCAATATGGGTGCCAGATGTCAAAGTTCAATTTAGCATACCTGGGTTAGGCTCCAATCAAGTGTTCTAGGTTTAAATCAAGTTGCTGCTATCTCTGTGTTACTGTTGCTGAGAGATGGAGTAAAAGAAAAGTGGATAGAGCCACATCTAGGTCTGTTCTGAGCTGCTGTGTTGAATTCCACAGATTCTTCTGAACCTGGATCTTCTTTTGATGCTTTTTGCATCCCTGGGCACCATGTCTGCAAAAACATTATGACTAGAATTAGCCTGAAAAATTAGCTAATTTAGCTAATCCTGCCCTTTGCTTTTAGTGGAATGTTTTAAAAGGTGTCTGGCTCAGAAGCATAATAATAATGCAAAAAAAAAAAAATAATCTGCAAAATATTCACAGGACTCTCAATCCATATGACTGCCTTGTCTGGAAATAAGCTGTATCCCCTCTTTTAGCTCCATTTGTAACAACAATTAGAAATATTGAAAACAGTTTTAATGAGTACATTTGTAATTAATGTTTGGTTAAATGATACTTCAAAGTATCATAGATTGCATAGATTAAGAGCAAATAGCGTGCTAAATAATGCAATTTATGTTCATCAAGTAACAGTTATTATAGCAAATTAAAACAGTGCTGTCAAATCCATATGAAAGGGGTGTGCTAAAGGCATCAAAAATGATTCACCCAGTTGGTGACCAGAGACCAGAAAAATGAACTTTTAAACCACAAGAAAGATAATTTTTGTTCCTAATTTTTCCTAATGCCCATTTTTGTATATGTACACCATGTGGAAAGTTGCATCTTAAAATCTTATGGCATAAATACAGCTAAGCTTTTATGCCTATGTTTATTTTCTTGTGTGGGAATACCAGTAGCACACATTGCTATGCCTAAGATAACACTCATGGAAACTCTTGTGTCACCTTACCACGTCAATATTTTTGCTCTGCTTCTCAATCAAGAGATGTATTAGTGACACTCTACTTTGCTATGTCCAGTTCTTGGCACCACAGTTCAAGAAGGATATTGATACTCTGAAATGTGCAAAGAAAAGTGTGACCAAGATGATCAAAGGTGTGGAAACCAAGCTTAATGAAGAATGGCTTAGGGAGCTGGATATGTTTAATTTGGAGAAGACTGAGAAGTGACATGGCAGCTATCTACATTAGAAGTTGAAGCCAGCTTGTTTTCTGCTGCTCCAGAGACAAGGATGTGAACCACTGGATTCAAATTACTATGAAAGAGATTCCACCTAGGAATAACATCTTGGCTGTTAAGAACTGATCAGCAGTGGAACAGATTGTTGCAGAGACCTCAGTCTTTTGAGGTCTTTAAACAGAGACAGCATCTTCCAGGAGTGTTTGAGTTGTGTATTCTTGTATTTCAAGGATTGAACTAGATGGCC